TCAGCGATGTACGAAAAACGCGAACAGGAAGAATCGTCAAGACCCCAGTACGCTTCGCTCGGGGGGAGTACTGTAGCCGCACCGCACGACTACATACCTACCAGTTACCAGTACCACCGAATACCTTTCCATATACCAGATACCTTCCACAATACCTTTACCAAAGTTATAGACTCACTTCGTTTAAAGAAACAAGAAACCAATTGTCTTGAAAAAGACAGTTTACGTTTTGACTCCGTTTTAAGAAACCAGAAACCAATTGTCTTGAAAAAGACAGTTTTCGACTTTCCTGCATAGAAACGATAATCATCACTGCGGCAACAGCGTTATCACACCGTGCCGCGAGCGATCGCTTCGAAAGAAGCGGTTTGGTAAAGCAAGCAGCCAAGCAGCGCAAGCGGAGCCGGAGCCGGAGGCCGGAGTACTTGCATTCATCTTCATTCATCTGTAGGTAGTCTTCAGTCTTCACTCAACGCCGGCTCTCGGAGAAATGCGCGCGCTCGCGCCGCGCGGTCATACTTATACGGAAGGAACCGATAGTGCCGTGTGCAAAGCGGCGCCCCGCACCCCGCGCGCCCCGCGCACGCCGGCGCGCCGCTATTGGTCGAAACTATTACCTAACTATATCTGATCTTGTCTAGTTGTAAATATGTAAATAGAAATATAAGAAGCGTAGTTTGGCGAAATAAAATCATTCTTGTCAACACCTCTCATCGGAGTTTTACTACTACTAGAAGATAAGAAGAAACCTCCTCTAGGACACTAGGCTCTCCTACCTAGCTCCTAAAGTGTATTTATTAGGTATATTATACCTATTACAATAAGTTATACATCTCTGCCTACCTAAGAATGTGAGGTATGAGGTTATATTTTGTATTTTATGTAAGTAGGTATATTTGTAGGTATTTATGTCTATTAAAACAATCGAGCGAGCATGAATTTATAATTATTTCAATTTAAACGGAGAATAATAAAATATCACTTAATACAATGTGTTCAGATCAAAATTTCTAACTGAATTAGGTAATAAAAAAACAGTTTAATCGAAATAAAACCATGCAGGTAAAGTTTGGTAATTTGTTTGGCTTTATTATAGAATTACATATTGTAAATCCTTGCTAATTTCCAAATCTTCAGTTTAAAGATAAAATTATATAAATGCGTACTTAAATTCTTTGAAAAATATCCCATATATAATATATGTAGATACATCTAAATAAATAGGTACTTATTGTCCCAGTATGGCGTGGAAGGTGGTTCCTTTGAATCCAACATTCCCTGAAGGGTTGTCTTGGAACGTAATGTACATCCTGAAACAAAATTATCTTTCATTCATTTGCCGGTAAGTGCGGCGTACGACGTCCATCCGCAAGGTGGACAGACGACCTGATCAAGGTCGCAGGGAGCCGCTGGATGCAGGTCGCTTCCAACCAGCCTATCTGGAAGTCATATGTCTGTTCGTTTGCTGCCCTATACCTACCATAAAAACCTATTTTGTCTTCAAAGTCCATATCTTCGATAACCAATCTAACTTAACATGTTTTCTCTCTTACAGATAGTAGTTACCTTGCTAACCGAGATTTGCTCAGTGTTGTTTTTTTAGTAAACAATAGTTTGGGAAAATGAAACCTAGCCAGCAGGTACTAAATAGATAAGAACGAGCTGACCCGGCAAACTTTGTAATTTTTTTTTTCACCTTGTAAATCTTTCCTGGACTTTCACGAACATTTTAAGATCAAAATTAGCCCAATCGGTTCAACCATTCTCGAGTTTTAGCGAGACTAACGAACTGAAATTCGTTTTTATTTATACACTAGCGGACCCGACAGACGTTGTCCTGCATATCCACTTGAATGTATAAACAAAAAATTCATTCAAATTAGTTCAGCCGTTAAGGATATAACCTAGACACCAACTGCAGCGCCATCTGCCGGACTGATTTGTGAATCTAAACCATTCCCAGATCTCCTTAAACACACAAAAAATTTCATCAAAATCGGTCCAGTCGTTTGAAAGAAGTTCAGTGACATACACACTCACAGAAGAATTAGAGATACCTATATCTAATGTATCTTCGCGCTATCCATTGGTTCTGTACCTGAGCAAACTAGGTTTGTCACTATAGTGAGGACGAACTTAATTTATTTTTCCCGTCCGTTATCACTGGAGACCATTGCGAATCAAACTAACAACCTAATAGTCACCACTGGGGACATGAGCGTTGAGAACAAATGGGAATGACCGACATTTAGCCTATATTTTAAGACTTAAGACCAGACTGAACAGCAACCAGTCTATTGGATGACACAGTCAGATTCAGAAGGCCAGAATTTTCTGACTATATTTTTAACTTTTAGGTGAGCCATGCTCCGGCACTAATTTGCCGGCTTTATTAGTGTGATCCTAACTACGGCCTTACAGAAAACCGGCGTGAAACAACGTTATGTTGTTTAGCCGCGTCAGGGAGGTAACCGGAGGCCCCGCAATCTTCCCAATATTCAATAATCCCTAATCCCCAAAAGGCAACGCACTTGTAATATTGGTGTGTCACTGAGAGGCGACGTTTGCTTACCATCAGGTGATCCGTCTCGTTTCTCGGCTATCCCATAAAAACGGCTACCTATCATGACGTAGGTAATAACTTAATTACTCATTGATAATAACTACTATATTCAAATTCACAGGTGCAATAAGTACATACGTAGAAACACACTTCAAATAAATCAAATATCTCTATTTGTACCTACTGACTGATGAAGTCATAGCATGGTTCGCCTTGACATCATGTTTGAAAAGGAGTGAAAGGGTTAAAAATAAATCACCTATAAATATGTACCTTTTCAAAATGGGAACAAGCGTCTGCGTATCCGATCTATTACATGCATGTATACCCAGTAATTGTTAAACCCATTTTACTGGGAGTCGTATTGAGATGCATAACTTCGTTTCCATTTAGGAATAATATATGATTCTACAAGCTAATGGCTGATTATCGACTCTTCTCTGTTATAATAACTTTATAGGCTAATAATGTATAACTACTTATGTACCTACATGCGTTTTTCCCACCTCGATATAGATTGCAGTTCGCACCATTCAGAAGGTGGTGCTAATAAAAATAATTAGGCTGAATCAAATTGTCTGTGCCTTACGTGAGAAACGATTTCGCGCCATTTATTTATGTTATGTCATGTCATGCAAACATGAAATTCATTTATGAAAATGTACCTACATAACGTGTAAATTGATACAAATAAGGGCAAAAACAAATAAAGCGAACATTCAAGATAAATAGTTATACAATTTATTTGTCTCATCTCAAAAATACAAGTTACTCTTAACATTCTAATAGCACATAGATTATATAGAAAAATACTTTTTAACACCAGACAAAAACGATGTTAAAAAGTTAACAACAATAAAATAAAAATATAGATTTATAGAATGAACAAACAATTAAATTATGTAGGTATTTGTTAACCAAAAATATATCAGTTGGAATTTATTTATAAGATTTATGATTATTTAATTAATTACTTTAAATTTCATTACAAAATTAACAACCGTAAATATTAAGTAAAATCGCGGGTTACCCACGTGAATATATTGAGAAAAGCTCTACTAGTTTCGAACCACAGAGAGAAACAAATAGAGCTTAATTTAGCATGTCTCACGATATTTATTATAAAAACCGTGAAAATTATTTGTAATATGCTTATAGCCCATATTAGTTCATGAGAAAATGATGTTAAGTAAAAGATTAAGTTTGCATTTTTAAATATTGCAAGTTCTATTGGAATTGAAAACATAATACTGTTCGTGTAATGTCTATTGTTAGGTAGGTAGCTAATGACGCTTTGTTTTCAAAAATAGGAACCCTTGATTAGTAAAAGCAATGGGATGATTTTAAATATTAAGTTATTAGATATCTTATGATACTGATAATAGGGAAAATGACTAATTTTTATTTAATGTAGATTAATTTAAAACATAAGACACGCATTTTTTATTTTCTTACGAAAACAAATACTTTGACGTCACTTCTATGTAGGTTTTATACTTAGAAATGATGTAGGTAGTTCGTTCCCACTTCTAAACGTTGGTTCGATTTATCTCAATATTATTTTCTACCTAGGTAACACAAAATAAAAAAAAAACGTGTCCAATACCTAACCTTTTCATTACCTAACTGGCGGACTAAATAGATTTTAAAAATTTCATACTCCGACATGATCCCTATTCTGCGTTAGCCTACCTTTTAGGAACATAACAAATATAGAAAAAATATAGCCTAGTCCAAACAAACACAATAGTCAAGGCAGATAAACTTAAAATCCAATAAATCTAAAATAGATACAAAATATAGGGCCATACGTTTTCTATATTAATTCGTAACATTGCTTAGTATGAGTCATTATCATTAAGTAGTAGCACTATATTATTATTATAATAGCTATGATAAGGGTAATAGAGTAGAGAATATATATAGTCATATAGTAATTATGAGGCGTGGTGTTTTACAAAGCATTGTATACGGGCGTTGAGCGACTTCGAGTTGATGAGAATTTGTAAATCGGATTTCAACTCTGCTGCCAGTAAACCAGATAACATTTAATTAGGAATCCGTCTATGAACTGTGTCCAGAATCAATTTAACCTGGGGCAGCGAAAGGAAAAAGAAGCCTTAACCTTTTGAATTAAAATTGAAACTCAATTGCAATTTTCGATTTAGAGACTAGATTCTGTAGTTATTGTTGAGACTTTTGGCCCTGGTTAAAAGTATAACGAAATAAAAAATGGATTTAAATTCCACTATCCTTAACAGAATTTCTTGCTCAGGGTGACGACCTTCCCTGATTAAACATGTTCTTTAACATTAATCACTTTTTCTAACATTTTTTAAATTACCTAACTAGCCAACTAAAGATTTTGTGACGCATAATAAGCAACATAGCGAATAACTCAACAACCAACATAGAATCGAAATGTAAAAAACATAGTTTATCCAAAGATAGCATGGAAAGTGGTGCCTTTGAAGCCGACGTTGCCGGTGGGCTCGTCCTGGAATGTTATGTACATCCTGAAAGAGTAAATTTTCATTAGATTTCAGTACTGGAGGTACAGAGACCTTGTGTATGGCAAACCAGCACAAAACAGGGATACTCTTTTTTAAAAGGCCGGCTTCGGCTAGTCAGTAGCCTCTGACACTGACGCGAAGAACCTAACGGGTAACCGAGGCTCCGGCTCGACGTGCAGGAGAAGGAACGGGGTGGTTTTTAGCCAGTAAGAGTCTGACACACCCGAAATCATCGAATGGCTGCTCCCGCTTGAGTGAGGCGGGACTCACCCAGGCGGGAGCAGCCATTCGATGATTTTCCCCCCTTAAAAAAAAAAAGTGTCTGACACTCCCCTCGCCACACCCAGGGCGGGAGAAATAACTTGATGATTTTTGCCCCTCAAAATAAAAAAAAAAAAAAAACCTTCGGAAATGTTATCCCCGACTGTCTTTTCGATAGATGAAAAACATCTAAAAAGCCTCAATAACCAATCTACCGATAGATTTACGTACTACAGATAAAAAATTCGGCACATTTTGAACAGAGCTTAGAGCTTATGTCAAAATTCTATCTCTAATGCCTAAATCCACCGACAAAAGGGTTATTGAACTAGGCTTAAGTCATTCTATTGTTTACAAATAGTTCATATAGGGTGGCAAGTTAATCTCCTCGATAACGTTATTACCTACACGTTGGCTAACGATAACTGGCCACTTGGGAGTTACTCATGCACTTCAACAATGAGCCCATTAGAGCACGGTATATTAATAAACACTGCACCTACCTAGCTGGTTTCAAAGGAAATTCTTTTAAAAATAACGACTCGATGATATATTTTATACAGACGTTAACGTAAACGTAGCTACTCAACGACTTTAATAGATTTCATTATGATATCTTTACATGATAAAAAATCACGATCATATTAAATAGTCGCATTTGCAACCCGAAATTAGGGTCTCTGGTTAGATAATATATCTCAGTCGGAAACAATATATCTCAGTATTAATTTTCGAATTCTTTTTTAGTTATCAATTACATAATAGGAATTAGGAGTCTGAAATTGGTGCATTACCTGGGAATGGAACCCATAATAGGCATAACTGGTGATAACAAACTCCGCCGGGGATTAAAAAGGCGTTAAGCCATGTAGCATGCACGATAGACTACACCAGACGATAGATTAGGCGAGAGGATCTAGATTCTAGATTCTCTAGACTCTCTAGATTCTAGATCCTCTCGCTTCTAGATTCTAGAACATATCCAGAGGCGTGCCAACAACCATGCGCTTGTGGAGGCCCGGCTTCAAAGCCTCGAACACAGGCGCAAGGTAGCAAACCTTTCGCTCTGAGTGTGCGGGGGAATTGCATAACTTTATTCCCCGTGCCTTTTCTAAGGCGATTAGCGAAGCACCACTGCTTCATGGTGGAAATCCCACCCACTCGCACGAGGCACTTTGCTTCAAGCTTCCTTGTACGAACTGCTAAGGATTGGAATTCTTTAGCAAATAATCTTTGTCAGTCTTTGTTTCCCGGGGGCTTATGCAGACGCATTATCGCTTACCATCAGGCGAGATAGTGACCAAACACCCAGCCATTGCATATAAAAAAAATACATGCAGTAATTGCTGAGTTATCACAAATTTATCAAATATTAATTATATATTCTCTACTTTAAACAGTTGGTAATAAAGTCGAAATTTTATAGCCTCTCGACGTGGAGAATTTTATCCTTGACCCAATCTACATAGTGATAAGAATCCAATGAATTATATAAACATAGTATCTTGGCTCCCTTCCAAAATTGTTATCAATTAGCAAAACATCTTTATTGGACATATTGTTTATTTAAAATTTTAAATCGAGTTGATTGGCTAATGGCTAAACTACTGTAAACACATACGGTATGTTTTTCCTTCAACCCACAATAATCACAGTTTTAATTCCTACATAATGTAGATCTTTGTACATTGAGAAATGTTACATTTAATAGTATTTTTGTTTTTAAGGGGGGAAAATCATCCAATGACTGCTCCCGCCTGGGTGAGGCGGGAGGGAGTGTCAGACTCTTACTGACTAAAAACCAACCCGTTCCTTCTCCTACACGTCGAGCCGGAGCCCCGGTTACCCGTTAGGTTCTCCGCGACACATTTAATAGTATAGGATTTGATAAGATAATGACATTAAAATCTGGCAAGAGTCTATGAATGGGACTATGAAAGGTATGTTTCCAGGTTCGGCAGCAGGATTGGAGATCACAGTTAAAAGGTTTAGGTTAATCAGAGTGCTGTAGCCCTTTCTCTGTTACCTACATATGTACCTACATATAAAAGCGAAGCTCATTCCAGTCTACAGTATTACCTAATACTGTAGACTGGAATGAGCTTCGCTTTTAATTATTTTTTTAACTTTCAAAAGAGTCTTCCTGGTCTAATTAAAATAAATGATTTTGACTTTGACTTATGACCTTTATGTTTTCTCTTACGATACTCAAGGGAAAGAGAGTTGGTTACTCTAGTAAGAAGAAGTAGATATTTTGTTATTCTTTTCTATTTATAATGGGTAGTGGTTTAGCCTTTATTTAGCCTGATGATAAGTAAGCCATGATGTGGCTTACAATGAAGCATGCCTGCCCAATAAGCAACTTATGCTCTGCCTTAAAGACACCCAGGAGTTTCTCTCCTTTGCTGTTATTTGTTATAAATCTTTCAGTATTAAACCCTCACCTGTCACTCTTTACTCCCAGTTCCTGTTCCACCAGCTCAAACAGTACTTTAGCATGTTTCTTGTTCTGCTCCACGCCGAGTGCTCCAATAGACATGATGTTGGCAATAGCACAGGGCTCCGTAGACCCACCGAAACTCATTAGCACATCCGGAATGATGGAAACTACACAGTACTGAAAATAAATTTTTAGTTAAAAAATTGTCATGAAATAGCACAGGGTCTGGAATATTATCCCGTCTAGTCATAGAGGTATCCTTATTACATGAGAACATTTTTAATTTACTTCTATAGTAAATTAAATTTTTTATAATTTTTTTATAACATAGGTTTATAATATTTACAACATAAATCATAAAAGTTAAAAAAGAAAATAAAATTATTAGTTCTAACACTGATACAATTTTGACATTAAAAAAATACATAAAATGATTATCTTGGGTTTATTATGGTTCGTAATTTATTTATAGTTTACAATTTTATTTTTACTCAGCGATATAACAATAGTAGAAACTTAGACATTTCCTATTAATCGAGCCCTCTAGGGTGATCCAAAGACAAGTAAATATCTTAGTCAATTTTCATTATAGATTGCATTCTAAAACTGGTATATCGAAAATAAGTACCTGCTCTGGTTTCCCAAGTGCCTTGGCTAACACCGGCACAGCTTTTTGTACAAAATTAGCAGGAATCTGACTTCTTGGTACGTTAGTCTCGATTCTGAAGTGCGGCATTTTGTCCTCGGCTTTGTCAAAAACTATTAATCTCAAATAGCGATTTGATACGACTGAATTTTTAACAGAATATATATCGGGTTTTATTTCTAACGTCCGGCGAAAAAAACGAAAACCAATTCCATTCGATTCAATGTCAGACAATGTCAGTCGTAAATGTCAAAGCTGTCAAACACAGGTTTACCAAAATAGCTCACAAGATAACGCTAGTAGATAAGAAAAAAAAATATGAGAACACAAAAATAATCACCTCCATTTTGGGAAGACGGTTAAGAAAGGTTCTTATTTATTATAAAAGAATAAGAATTTCCTTTTATAGATATGATATGCCACTTATCAAAGTTTTTATTTTATTTGATCAAGAATTCAATAAAGGTGTTTTGCTACTTTTTTACAATACATAACGTAACAAAATTAATTTCCAGGGGTTTTACCAGGAAATGCAAGAAACTCACAATGATAAAAAACAATAATAGGGTTTCTAGTAGCCATAGATAAAAGATCTCTTGAATCATTTTCTTATCAAACTCTACAATTGTCTATTCTTGGTGAATTCCGGGCACTGTTGTGATAGTGATGTAGTTGTGGTCGATAAAATATAATTTCAAAATTGAAATAAATTGTGATAAAATTATATTTTTCAGAAAATACATGGCAGTTGCTTCACTCAACTTTGTAATCTGTTATAGATACCAAGTCTTTCAAATATATCAATATCCACAATTCCAATAATTGTATGTATAATTGTAATTGGGATTCTGCCAAACATATCACATACGTAACTAATGTAGAGCGGGTTGTGTTGTGAATGCTATGATTCTTGTTATCACATGCCTTGTTGTATATATTATGTTATAGGTGCACATTACCTAGTGCACTTAATGCGACTGTACAATAAGTAATAGGGGATGAGCCTATTACCATATACCGAGCACAACTCCAGGCTCAATGCTACTATTGAGATTTTTTATAACCCAGTAATACTTTGCCCTTTGCCGTAGACAGATAGATAAATACACTTGAATAACATGTAAGATTCAAAGCTCTTGTTACTACGACAGCGTTTTCCAATAATAGTTATTAAAAGTAGGTACGCTTTTTATGTTAGAGGGCATGTATTTTAAAGTGTAACATTTTCTTTCCGCTAGTTACAGTCATCATAGTTTATAATACGTCAGGCATTCAATTAGGTACATATTTCCAAAATTGAAATACCAAAGTTATTTAATTGGGAAAAATCAGTTAATCGATATATGATTTATTTTTGCAGTCGCATCATTAGGAAGGCGGAATGGTGGGGAGTAGATATGTGGATTTCAGCATTCTCTATGCGCCGGGTAATTTGCGTTGTACTTAGTGGCGAACTGGCGATGACTGCACTTCATTGATAATAATAATCACATGATTAAATAATGAAAAATCATTAGATTGAGGAAGGATTCACAATAAATACAGTCCTCCAAGTGATTTTTGTTCAGTATCGATTTAGATTTCGTGAAAACAAGTAACGCAGTGGAGTATCAGTTCTTAGCGTGTGTGTGTGTGTGTGTATGACAAAACAATCTCGAAGTTTCATCAAAAATGGGTAACAATCAGTCCGAAAATAATAGACCGACACAGTAAGTACATAATATTATTTTATACTTAGATCGTAAATATCTAATGTTTTTGGAATTTATGCTTTGATACGATATACTTAGATAGGTATTATTATAGATCGTCAAGTTTTATCCTGACTACAATATTATTGTGCATGTTTCTTTGTTCATTTAACTTTCATCAACGAGTGTTTTATGATTTTTATATCTGAATATTATTAGGAAGCTGGAGAGTGATATCAGCTATGTCCTATATCTTTCCTATGCAGGTGATGCTTACAAGTTATGAAAGTTAAGTGCATGGTGCATTGGTCAAGCCTGTTTATAAATTCAGACGAACAATATTAATCCTTAATTCAACGTATTTAGGTGCTAACCGCCGCCTGCACTGCCGCCATATTACAATTTGCAAAGACAAAGATAGAGGAAAGAAATATAAGACACAGAGGCGGATTTAACATACTTCAAAGGCGTCCCTAAATTTTTTGGTGCCACTAATCACTATCAGCTATCGGCACGCGCGTCTCGCGGCGTCGCGGCGCCCCTCTGTAACTGGCGCCCTCAACGCTCGCCTAGGTTCACATCACATCAACAGCCTATATGTGGCCACTGCTGACCAAAGGGAAGGTGTTCTCACCCGGGAAAGTTTGAGCATTAATCACCACGCTTGCTCGATGCGGGTTGGCGATTGCAAACTTATATTCTGTTCACTGTTTGTCAGTAGTGTCTAGGTAATCTTAGAAAGTACATAAGAATCGGGAAATGTCACATTGGTACTTGCCGTTGGTAGGTTTCAAACCGTGCCCTCCCTCACCCATGAGAAGAGGGCGTCTTAAACCTGTGTGCCACCGTGACATTTTTACTTTTTTTACTTCCCCTTAGGTGTAACGACTCTGATGGTACATACCTACAGTAGATCCTATCGCAATCCCCATTTATTTTAACACTAGCTATTTCCGTCCGGTTTCGTCCACTGCTCGGCTCCTATTTCGATAAATTGACTCCCAACACAAAAAGAAATTTTGGTAATAAGTCGAAATAGTCTTTTAAAATAATTAAGGTTCTAAAACAAACCACTGATAAATTTGAATCTGTTGTGTTGGCAATGGGTAGGTATTTATTGTAGGTACCTACTTCTCTTATAATCTGCGCGCGGAATAAACTCTGCGCGTGTAAAGCCATCTCATACCATACAATGTCAATCTACATAGTCAGCTTGCCAACTAGTCGGAAACGAATGGAATTTGAACTTTATTTCTCCGTAATAAAGACCACCTCAATGGTCTCGGTATCGTGATGTGTTAGTAACTTGAGTGAAATAATTACTATTGCGTCCTGTTTCACAAGTTCACAACGTCCGATAAAGTTCTATACGTAATTAGACACGTTTCTTATAAATATTTCTACATACGTTAAAATTACCCATTAGTTAGCCTAACAGAAAGTACTTAGGTACTAAAGACCTTTTTTAAGACCGTCTCCACTCTCATTAGCTTCCTAAAATCCTAACTACTTTTCTGGAGATACAAAAAATCCTAACATAACATAACATCACGCCTTTTTATCCCCGAAGGGGTAGGCAGAGGTACACATTTCGGCACTTAATGCCACTGTACAATGTAACACCCACTTTTCACAATTTATGTTATGAGTCCCATGTAATAGGGGGTGAGCCTATTGCCATATACCGGGCACATTTTTCCAGACTCCGTGCTACTACTGAGATTTTTAAAAACCCAGTAATACTTCGCCCGACCCGGGAATCGAACCCGAGACCCCTTTGGCGGGCAGTCGCACTTGCGACCACTCGGCCAATGAGGCAGTCAGCAAAAAATCCTACTAATATTATAATTGCTAATGTTTTTAGGTTTGTTTGTTTGCTTGTCACTCCTTCGCATTAAAACAGCTGAAGGGATCAAATGAAATGTGCAACTTGAGCAGCTTATGATCTGGAATAAAACATAGGCCAATTTTATCCCACGGGTACGAGGGCAAACCCGCAGGCAAAAGCGTGTATACATACCATGAAACGTGAAAGAAAGATCAAGTTTAGACAAAGTTTATATTATGAACGAATGGTCTTCATTAATGTCTAGTTGATTTATTCAGTTATTAGGTTACGATGGGCCGACACACGCTGTGCGGTATAAGTCCTTAAAATTAAAAAAGAAATAAAAAAAATATGGTCGAAAGTTCAGAAAAAGGTTTTTATGATAGACGAAAGACCTATTCGTCTGAAGGTCAGAAAATGTATTCCTCGTTTCTAATTGCGGACCTCTAAAATAAACTATATGTATATTCTGCAAGTGAGCAGGGGCTCTATCATATATAATATGCTTTGACTATCGGAAATTGCGTGATATGATGCATAGACCACAATATTATGCATCCTCGTCGCTGAAATGCACTCGTAGTCATTTTGCGTCGGACTAATGATTATAATAGTTTATTTGTATCTATGTACTTAACCGTATGAGTCATAATAATTGTTATCACAATTCACTAGGTACTTGTGTAGGACTTGCACGTGCACTATCGGTATTTAGCCTTTGTACGTACCTACACACAAGCACTAGTAAAATGATTTGGGTTCGCATAGTTCACAAAGTAGGTAAATTAAATTAGTTATTAACTAGCTTTTACCCGCGGCTACGCTCGCGTCACAAAAGGTTAAAAAGTAGCCCATGTGACTATACATCCCTTCAACCACCTTCAGTTAAAAAATCACGTTAATTAGTACCTCCGTTCTGCCGTTTAAGACAGGCAAACAAGCAAATAGCTTTCCGCTCGCATGGAATTTGGTTATATCGCGCTATTTTGATTTTTCCAATAAGTAGGTAATTCGTTGACTGGTTTTAGATGACATACAGCGCCATCTATATGTGTATTGTGTTGTACTTGTGTGTAGGTATATATATTATAATTATGTTTATTTATGTTTATCCCTGAAATATGTAAGTATATCTATTTTATTTGCTCTATTAAATAGTTGCTTGCTTCTTGCTCAAACCATTAACTCTTCTCTGCATCACCCAAAGGTCAGACTGGGAGAAAATGCCTGCGGCATTAAGTCCACCTTATGTACATTTTGTGCATGAAGCTTACAAATAAATAAATAAATAAATCTATACCAATACAAACAGCGCCATCTATACCAATGTTTTTGTTTTCCCTCAGAAATATCAAATTTTTCCGCGATAAAAAGTACCGTATTATTTAATCCAGACTTCTTACTTTACCTTCTACTTGCAAAATTTCAAAGCAGTCGGTTTAGTAGTTACGGCGTGAAAGCGGAACAAACAAACAAACCCACTTTCCGATTTATAATATTAGTAAGGAAGTAAGGATAAGGAAGTAAGGATTTGTGAACCCATGCTTTTGAAGAAAATCTTATGGAAATAGTTTTGCTTTTGTGTTTCCCACGTTCTAAAAATTCTTCTTTTCCCGCTGATTTTTAGTTTTTAGACGTTTATTCATAATTACTGAAAGTACTTGACTTACCCTACATTTTAACTATGCTGAAAAGGACAGTTTTAAATCATAACATCACGCCTTTAATCCCTGGAAGGCTAGGCAGAGGTGCACATTACGACAATTAATGTCACTGTACAATGTAACACCCACTTTTCACTATCGATTTTTTGAGTCCCATGTAATAGGGGGTGAGCCTATTGCGGATTGCCATATACCGGGCACAATTCAAGACTCCGTGCTACTAATGAGAATTTTTTAAAAATCCACTAATACTTTGCCCGACCCTGGTCTCGAACCAGTAGTCTTGCGACTACTCGGCCAACGAAGCAGACACTTCTAAATCCTTAGAACAGTGAAGGGGATAAACCTCAATATATATGTATGTAACAAGGTTATTTGTTTGACAGGCCACATATGAATTTGTCTGACTTGGAGCACATCCTCAACACTCAGCGACAGAGATACGAGCAAAAACTCCAGGACGAGCTGGCGAAGCAGAGAGCTCAACAACTTAGGGAGCAAGAGGCTAAGGAGAGACGGGCTAAAGAACAAGAGGCCAGGGAAAAACTCGCTAAAGAACAGGCCAAACAACGAGCCGAACAGAGCTCCAACTCCTCGAATACAGTCCCAAGGTATTTATTCTTTTTATTACCAAAACAAAATGAGTATTTTAAAAATGTATGGATTTTTTGTTTATAGAGGTAATTATAGGTAGTAGAAGAATTTTCTTTCTTTCAGTAGTAATCACATATTTCGGCACTGTAATATCTCTTGTCTATGTAAAAAATAGAAGACCATTTTGTAGCTATCATCATTATCTTCAACAATTTTTTTTCTTTGCCATACAGCAACTCCGTAGGTGGCCCTCAGCAGCAAGCCGCAGTAATCGTACCACCGCAGCAGTTATACCCTACCCTGACCCAAACGCCGAACTACCCTGTTCATGTAAACCAGCCCCATCCGTTAATTCAGACTAATCCTTTTCAACAACCCAACCCTATGTTCCAACATTACCCGCAATTCAACCCACCCCAACCTTGGAACCCTCCCCAGCACGTAAACCATCCCAGGAACCAACCTAATTCCTACCAAAACCGAGCGACGCCGACGCCACCGCCGCAAGATTTCGTCTTTGTGAACGCGCCTGGACAAAGGTAGCTTTAATTGCAATTTTTTTAGTATTAAGTTAACAAAGTATATCATTAATGTAACACCCACTCTATCCACTTTTGAATAGATATAGCATTACCGAGCCTAGTAATTATAAATAACACCCAATGACCAAGGAAACAATAATTTGCGGACACAAAAATTAGTCCAACCGAATCCTCTAGTGTTGCGGGTCCATGAGCGACGCCGACCAACATCCGGTGATCCGTTTGCTCGTTTACCGATTTATCTCATAAAAATCGTCTTGGTCTCTATCTCTGGACACTTGTTCAGAATGGTTTTAAAACGACCTTCACTTTCAGATACAAGCCGGTCCCGTCAGCCCCGGTGGAACCTTCAGGCCCAAGTACTCGGCCTCGAATTCCTGATGTAGTTCCATCTCATGGCCCCAGGAACCGCTCACGCTCAACTAGCAGGTATGAAGCATATTTTTGTTACTCCACAAACTTCAATGGATTGTCTACTTTACTTTAATAGACCGTGAGAGTGCACTGCTGGACAAGGTCTCCGCTATCAAAGGGGTTCCTCATTATCTCCATGGTTGGTAGGCGGGTTCAGGTTTATCACAGAGCACTGCTGCTCGTTCTCTGTAAAACATGTCCCTTCGTCGACTCTTATGCCGCGTCTCCAAGCAGTCCCTAGTGACCGCTCTCCACTTACTACATTTTGGCCCTGATTTCCGATGTTTAGAGACTACTTTTGTATGTACAAATGTTGTGGATTTTTCGTAATCGTGGATTTAGAAGTTAAGTTCGAGTGGACGAGAAAAAATTTTGAAAATTGTTTTTTACTCTGACGGCAGAGTTCAATACAATTTCCCACGCACCGTCACCGTCAAACATATCATATCTTTAACTAATAATATTTATATTCTCTTTTAGGGCTCGTCCTGTCAATAAGAACCGAGGAATCTATGATTGTCCCACATGTAACCAAAGATATGGGTTGAAAATATTCCAATGCCCGAACGGACACAGCGCCTGCAATGACTGCAAGATCAGAGGACGAGCCTGCGCCATCTGCGGACTGTCTCTTACTGGAGTCAGGAACTTTGAGGTTGAGAATCATGTAGCTCAGGTGAGTACCAAGAAAAACTACGAGAGTTTGTGAGAATGAATAAATGTAGTTGTAACTCTTTCACGTGAAAAATCTGTACATATTTTATGAGTTTACTTACTTTGGAGTAGCACATAATCTACTTTTATCCCGGGAGAATTACGATTCCCGTGGTATTCGTTCATGTGAAGTCGCAAACATCATCAGCAAAGAAATAGTGTGATGATAGGTAAATGTGAATTGTTGCCAGAAGATTGTCGTAATAATAAGTGAGTGACAGAGTTATCCAGAAATAATACCGAATGGAGCAATAACTACAACTACAATACGATTTTCAGACACCAACAACCTGCCCTAACAAAAATGAGGGATGTAATTCGATGATCAAGCAGATTAACATGGACAAACATTTGGAAAGTTGTCCCTATATGGAACAGCAGTGCCCTCTCGTCGCCATCTTCGGAACATGCCGCTGGAAGGGTAAGATAGTTGCATATTACTAAATCTTTTTGCCGAAGATGCTGTAGTGTTTTCACTATTTTCTCTGCTTGATTTATTTTAAAAAGGTACAAGCCTATATTTCTATAAACCAGGCCCCGTTGTAGGCGTGCTAAAATACTGGTCAAACCTTACATCGAGTTAGAATACAGTTTTGATTAGCTCCATCAAAAGATCTATATCGGTCTGGCCACAAACTAACTTACATAAATTATATTTTCAGGTAAACTGAGCCAGTTGTCGACTCACTTTGACGAGATGCACTCATCGAACCGCGGAGTAGACGTCGACAAGGAAATTTACTTAAGAGACATTCATAATTCGAGCCGTCAGGTTCATCTCGTCGTTATTGGCGGATATAATTTCTTATGTCACCTTCAGGTTTCTGAAACGGACGGCAAAATCTTCATGGCAGTTCAACTCTTGGGCATTAATACTGCTGCAAAGAAATGGACTTATGAAATCCACGTCTACAAAAAGTCTGAACCTCGTAGGAAATATATGTACTCGGATACTTGTGTCTCTTCAAAGGAAGAAGTGTTTAAATCCGGGAAGTGCGCAGTGCTGCCGATATTTTATGCTGCAACCTTCGTCGATAGAGAGGGCATGGCATTCAAATTCTTCATTCAAAAAATTTCGAATAAAAACAACGAAGATGATAATCAGGATGATCAGCTTGAAGAAGAGAGAGAAAACATGAATGGAAATGATACTGGTGAGAACTATTATAACTATCGCGGTAGGGGCAGGGGCAGGGGTCGAGGTAGAGGTAGGGGCAGAGGGGCGATTAATTATAATAATTATTATCATAATAATAATAATTAGATGAGACGTCTTACGTAATTGAATACAGACGATGCTTTTAAATATTTTTCCTTTACCTAATATTTCTATTTTTACTAATTTGGTTTAGTGAACAATAGTGTGTTTCTACTGGCGTCACTGATGGCCGACGTCTTTTGAGTTTCTTTTTATAATATGTATGTAACAAAGTTGTTCTCACATTTTGGTTCACACTTTGAGAACAGTTATTTGATTACAATTTGTTATTAATCAGCTTGTATCATAAGATTTTATGTTTAATGCTCCTATACTATTATGATTTTAAGTAGGTTTATAAGCTAAAAAATAAAAATAAAAATATGTCACGTACCTAACTGGTGTTTATGTTTGTTAACTAATGTTATAAAAATACTTTAGTTAAGATAAATATTAAGCTTATCTGTATTTACCATAAACAAATTATGTTATTGGTCTACGGTGTTACATTTAAAAAAAAAAAATATTTGCTAAGTTTATTTTTTAATTATGGAAACACTGAACAGTGTTGCCAGGTAGGGTTTACCACTGGCATGTCTTGGCATATTCATTATGCATGACCGTTTATTTGTTTTAATGATTTGCATTATCACAAATAAATATTTAAATAAAAAGCTTGCTATGGAATGGTGTCATTGTTATCACTTGTAAGTACATTTATGAGTGTTTTTATCTTTTAACATCATTAAATACCTTAAAATGTGCAACATGGCGAAGCTTTTTATTATATTCTTATTATTTTTAGACGTATTTACAAATAATTAAATGATTACTATTATTAGGTATATTTTAACATTATTCAATATGATTGTACTAAAGTAGGTACTACACTTACATTTATGTATAGAGAGGTGAATAGACCTGAGTATTCACTTGTAAAGTTGTAACACAACATTAAACTGAACAACGAGCCGAGCATAGAACCAAACATTGCTACGAACATTTTCAGGTGCATTCTAATTCTAGCGATGCCTAGTCGATGTCAGACTTGATAGTTTATTAGGATCAAGGTTATTTTCTCTTTCCGTCTCCTTGACCAAATATTAGTATTACATTGTTCTCACATAATTGAACTCAACGAAAGAATGTAACCAAAAATTGTATTGTGAACATGATTGAAAAAGAGTAACCTATGGAGTTTCTTGCTCGTTCTTCTCCATAGGAATCTACACTTGGGAACGAGCAAATAGCTTCACTAGAGGACTGACCTACAGGCTGACATTTTTTCTTATTATTTAATATTTAAATATTTTGTTTTGACGTTCAAAAGTGCCTTCCTGGTCTAAATTGAAATAAATAATTTTGACTTTTGACTTTTTGATAGAACTTTTATTGTCATTTGATAAAATGCTTGCGAGAAAGCTTACTAGACAAATGTTCTCTAAAACACTCTCGTTGTTTTTCTCGAAACACAAGTGAATGCTTAGGTTAATAAGTGTACATATACCTAACTATATTTTATAATACATATTTTTAAATATTCTGTTGTCATAGACGAGTCCCAGAGGCCACAAGTTGAAAACTGGCGGGAATCGTGTACCACAACGGAGAGTCGTGTAAATGATAACCAACACTACCAACGACCTCGATCGTGGGTTAATCAGAGACGTGCACTAAGTAAGTTTATGTATTAAAATATCACAGCTTTATTAGTTGTTAATTAATTAATGTAACTTGGTTACCTACTAAGTAATCAAAGTACAATTTATCTAATAAAAATCTTGTTCGGTCCATTAATAAGAAATTTTAGATTTACATTAAATGTAAGTACCTATATAACTTACAATAATCATATTAATATTATGTATCTTCATAATTATATAGGAATAAGCTCTTTTTATAGGGTTCCAAATTAGATTATTGCTTTTCCTTAAACATTGTTACTTTTCTATTGACATAAAAGCGCGGGAAACGCTCCATTGGCTCTCCACAAAACAAAATGGCGGTATATACTTAGTGCAAGTACAGATTATAAATACAACTATACTATAAGTACTAACCCAGAGCCGTATTATAATATTCATGGCAGTACCTCGGGCGCCAGGTTACAGAGGAGCACCGCGAGATGGAAGCACCGTAGAGTGGCGGCGGGCGACGCACATAATAATTTAGGGGTGCCTGTGAGATGCTTGCCCAGGACGCCCGCTAACTTTAATCTACCTCTGTACCTACTTACCTATCTTTTAATGTACCGAACAAGATTTTATATAATTATCTAAAAGTAAAAACATGCATAGATTCATTATACTCATGCCTCTCCCTAATGAGCATTACATTGCACTAAAAGACACCATTTTTAGCATTTTCTTCTTACAGCTTATGTTTGTGTTAACACAGGCAACACAAGGAACTCTGTAGAGGTCGAAAATTGGCGGGCATCTTCTGATTCGAGAGCACAAAGTGCGAGAAACACAACTCAAAGGCCAAATAAACATAACTAAATTATTGTTTAACTGATAAGTTCTTAGGCATAATGAGTATAATGACCAAATGTATGTACCTGTACCTATATACGAGTAAAGAAAATACGATATATAAATACAAAGGACTAACCAAGGTCTTACTAGGACCACCTAGATTCAGACTCTCTTTGATGTTCTTCACAAGTAATACTTATAATCATATTGTAATTTAAGGGCTATAGTTTATATTATTATTGTTGACTTTCAATAAATTTTAATTTTATAATGTTGAGAGGAGAGTCGAAAGTGTAACGGAGTAATTTTATAGCCAGTTCCATTCGCCAGTTGGTTCAAAATTACGCTGTGTAATAGTTATTAAGTTAAAGCTTTTTTCCTTTTATTACGATTGTTTTCATTCTTATAATTATGTACCTACCTGTGTGTGTAAAGTTTTTTTTCAATAAAAACGACTATTATCTAAAATGATTGGTTTCATTGATGCTGCAATATTTTCAAAATATTCTGCCTATGGAGTAAATAATGTGGTGAAGTAAAATGGTGTAAAAATTGAAACAAAAGAGAATATTTTATATCAAGTTTATTTTCATCGACAAAACTAGTGTTTAGTGATCTGTGACAGTGAATAGAGTAAGTGCGAGCACAGTCAGTATAATGTGGGCACCGAAATATTGCAACATTTAAAACTAAATAAAATACTCAACATTATTATTGTACCAATTATTAATTTTTAAAAGTATAATATTCCGTACACAGACATTAAGATTTTTTTAAATGGAGTTTTGGCGCGAACAGCCAATATCGCTGACCATAGAATAAAAATAAACAAAAAAATGGCCGGCTGTGCCCGCTTTTATACAAAGACATTGAATTTTATTAACACACAATTACATAACATAAAATAATTTCACGCCTTTTATCCCCGAAGGGGTAGGCAGAGGTGCAGATTACCTACGGCACTTAATGTCATTGTACAATGACATACAGTGTAACACCCACTTTTCACTATTTATGTTATGAATCCCATGTAATAGCGGGTGAGCCAGACTTCGTGCTACTACTGAGATTTTTTTTAAAAACCCAGTAATACTTTTTGCCCTTTGCCGTAGACAGATAGATAAATACACGTGAATAACATGTAACATTCAAAGTTCTTGTTACTACGACAACGTTTTCCAATAATAGTTATTAAAAGTAGGTACGCTTTTTATGTTAGGGGGCATGTATTTTAAAGTAAACCATTTTCTTTCCGCCAGTTACAGTCGAGTTAGTTAGTTAGTTCATAATATGTTGGCTAATGAAGCGGGATCCGGCGGGGAGGTTTATACTTGTGCTCCGTGGCATACTGAAATTTTGGCCTTTATTAAGAGAAAGTAGCACTAAAGTATGGTCAGAATACTTCTACAAAACGTCACTTACTAAAGGCCTTTGGTATAAAACAATATAACCGACGCTTCATCGTGCTCTCTCTGGTTTGGTGAAGGCGGGATGAGTAGACAAGAAATCGTCACGGCTTTAAGGCTCCGATCTGGACATAACTATGCCTCTAAATAGTTTTGGATTCATGATGGTCTGTCTCAGAGGTATCAGGTCTTTAGTTTTACGAGCTTTAATATTGGTTTTTATCAGTGTTTTAGCGTCACCATTGTCATCTAAGGCTAGAAAATTTCATCATTTAATTATTTTATGTTTAAGCTTAAGGGCTAGTTAAACCTATAATCGGTTTAGCTGCTTTATTTTTGGTACTGAATTTTGTATCCTATAATAGGGCTAATCGCCCTGAGGACACGGTGGAACACACTGTAGCGGAATGCCCTGCGTGGGCTGAGCAGTGCCTTCAGGGAAGTGAACGGCGATGGCGACCTCTCGCTTCCGGGCCTAGTGCAGGCCATGATGCGGACCGAGGGGGACTGGGATACCGTCTCCTCCTTCTGCAAAGCAGTTATGCTAGCTAAGGAGGAGGCGGGGCGCGTGCGCAGCTATTCGCAGCTATTCGCTGCCTCCTCGCAACCCAGCCATCGTTAGCGCGGGCCTGCGGACGGCGAGCATGGGTGGCTCCCTGTCCGACCAGAAACAGACCCGAGCGTACAGTGCGTCGTGTTCCGCGCGCGCCTCAAAGAGCCATCAGACCACCACAGATGGGGCCCAACAGGGCCGATGCCGATTCAGAGTCGCGGAGAACCTAACGGGTTACCGGGGCTCCGGCTCGACATGCAGGAGAAGGAACGGGGTGGTTTTTAGTTAGTAAGAGTCTGACACTCCCTCCCCCCTCACCCAGGCGAGAGCAGTCAATCAAAGATTTCCCCCCTTTAAAAGAATAATAGGTGTGACATTTTCCTATAAGGAAAATAGCCCTTCTTATTAAGTAAAGATTTAAAAAAATTGTTTATAATATGTCGGGTCGGCATTCAATTACATATTTCCAAAACTGAAATACCATAGTTAGTTCCGAATTTGTGAGGCTTAACAATTAGGAGAAATGATTTAAGCAACCTAATGACATTCATTATCCTTACTTAATTAGCTAAGTATGTACTTAACAAAGTAATTGAGAAAAATCAGTTAATCGATATATGATTTATTTTTGCGGTCGCATCATTAGGAAGGCGGAACGGTGGGGAGCAGTTATGTGAAATTCAGCATTCTCTATGCGCCGGGTAATTTGCGTTGTACGTACTTAGTGGCGAACTGGCGATGACTGGACTTCATTAATAAATAATCACATGATTAAATAATGAAAAATCATTAGATTGAGGAAGGATTCACAATAAATACAGTCCTCCGAGTAATTTTTATTCAGTATCGATTTAGATTTCGTGAAACAAGTAACGCAGTGGAGTATCAGTCCTTAGCGTGTGTGTGTGTGTGTGACAAAACAATCTCGAAGTTTCATCAAAAATGGGTAACAATCAGTCCGAAAATAATAGACCGACACAGTAAGTACATAATATTATTTTATACTTAGATTGTAAATACCTAATGTTTTTGGAATTAATGCTTTGATACGATATACTTAGATAGGTATTATTATAGATCGTATAGTCAAATTTTATCCTGACTACAATATTATAATACGTGTTTCTTAGTTCATTTTACTTTCATCAACGAGTTTTTTATGATTTTTATAACTGAATATTATTAGGAAGCTGGAGAGTGATATCAGCTATGTCCTATATCTTTCCTATGCAGGTGATGCTTACAAGTTATGAAAGTTAAGTGCATGGTGCATTGGTCAAGTCTGTTTATAAATTCAGACGAACAATATTAATCCTTAATTCAACGTATTCAGGTGCTAACCGCCGCCTGCACTGCCGCCATATTACAATTCGCAAAGATAAAGACAGAGGAAAAATATAGCCAAGCACCTCAAAGGCGCCACTAATCACTTTGTGGTACACGCGACTCGCGGCGTCGCGGCGCCTCTTTGTAAACTGGCGCCCCTTTGTAACTGGCGCCTCTAACGCTCGCCTAGGTTCACATCACATCACAGCCTATATGTGGCCACTGCTGACCAAAGGGAAGGTGTTCTCACCCGGGAAGGTTTGAGCATTAATCACCACGCTTGCTCGATGCGGGTTGGCGATTGCAAACTTATATTCCCTTCACCGTTTGTCAGTATTGTCTAGATAATCTTGGAAAGTCCATAATACATTTTAACTATGCTGAAAAGGACAGTTCTAAATCATAACACTTTTATCCCCGGAGGGCTAGGCAGAGGTGCATATTAAGGCAATTAATGCCACTATACAATGTAACACCCACTTTTCACTATCGATTTTATGAGTACCATGTAATAGGGAGTGAGTTTATTGCCAATATATCGGGCACAATTCAAGACTCCGTGCTACTAGTGAGAATTTTATTAAAAATCCACTAATACTTTGCCCAACCCGAGTCTCGAACAACGGCCAACGAGGCAGACACTTCTAATTCCTTAGAACAATAAAAGGGATAAACTCAGGGGCGTAGCTAGCACCGTATCTGCCGTATCAATTATATGGGGCCCCCGGACTACAGGGGCCCCCAACGTGCCTAAGCAAAATTTAATAAAAACTTCCCAATTTTCATTTTATTTCAGTAATCAGTAACACAAAAGTCAAAATAACGTTTTTTTCCACGTAAAGCATGCTTTCAAAGGTTGGCAGAAACTTAAGAAAAATAAAAAAGTAATTAAGGTCCATTTCCTGAAAAGATTTTTGGTTTTCACACAAATTATAAGTATTTTATGTAAAAAAATCTCTTTTGAGTAATGTTTACCCTTCAAGGGTAAACAATTTTTTATACGGGGCCCCCTCAAGGCAAGCTACGCCACTAGATAAACTTAATATATTTATGTATGTAACAAGTTTACTTCTTTGACAGGCCACAAATAAATTTGTCTGACGTGCAGCGCATGCTCAACACTCAGCGACAGATGTACGAGCAAAAACTCCAGGACGAGCTGGCGAAGCAGAGAGCTCAACAGCTTAGGGAGCAAGAGGCTAAGGAGAGACGGGCTAAAGAACAAGAGGCCAGGGAAAACCTAGCTAAAGAACAAGAGGCCAGGGAAAAACTGGCTAAAGAACAAGAGGCCAGGGAAAAACTGGCTAAAGAACAAGAGGCCAGGGAAAAACTGGCTAAAGAACAAGAGGCCAGGGAAAAACTGGCTAAAGAACAAGAGGCCAGGGAAAAACTGGCTAAAGAACAAGAGGCCAGGGAAAAACTGGCTAAAGAACAAGAGGCCAGGGAAAAACTGGCTAAAGAACAAGAGGCCAGGGAAAAACTGGCTAAAGAACAGAGGCCAGGGAAAAACTGGCTAAAGAACAAGAGGCCAGGGAAAAACTGGCTAAAGAACAAGAGGCCAGGGAAAAACTGGCTAAAGAACAGGCCAAACAACGAGCCGAACAGAGCTCCAACTCCTCGAATACAGTCCCAAGGTATTTATTCTTTTTATTACCAAAACTAAATGAGTAGGCATTTTAAAAATGTATGATATATTTTTTCTAATTATAGGTAGTAGAAGAATTTTCTTTCGTTATTCA